GGCCCGTTGGGCTTCACGCTGTCGGCGCCCCAGGAGGTCTCGGGGTGCGGGCGTCAGGGGGTAATTCGGCTACGCGCAGGAGTGGCCCTTCGCCGGAGTGACCTTTGGTGCGGACCCTCTGGGGCCCACTGCGCGCACCAGAGGTTGCTCTCGCCTAGGGTCACCGCTCCTGCGTGTAGCCGAGTAATTGGGCTAGGGGGGTGTATCGAAAGCCTGCTGCGCGCAGCTGCCCAGACCTTTTCGTGAAAGTTCGAGGATCGAGCTCTTTAGTGCTTCTGATCTTTCCTGGGCCTCCTCTGCTGCGGCTGCACCCGCCTCGAAACTCTGGCCAGGACGCATCCCAGGAAAGGTTCGAGGGGTCGACTTGCGCCCCCTGGACCTTCGCAGACTTTCTTATCGTTTCGAACAACCGTGACTCGGGCGACCACAGCGATTACACGGGCTACCAAGACAGCCTTTCACGCAGCCATAAGCGGCCTACTTCGGGCCCCACGTGGAATCGCACAACGGGGGAACGCATAATGCTCTACGGTCGGGGTTCGTGGCTCTATCAGGTTTTCTCTTCGTGGAAAAAACACGACGGAAGGTTTTTGCAATTTTTCTGCCTTTGGGGGCCCTCACTGGGCTACATGACCAGGACCGTCGGAGAAAGCGGCCCGGAATGAACAGCCAGCTGGTCGCGGGGAACGGGTCCAGACCTCCAGGGGGGCCATGCTGTGAAAAGTTCACTACGTCGGAGGTCTGTGCGATCGAAATTGGTATGGGAAGAATGGGTACGAAGACCGACTACAGTTCTGGTCCATTTTGAAACGGATTCGCTGTCGGCGTCGTCGCTGACGTTGTCCTTCGGAGACAGAATACCGCCTCTGCCCAGCAGCGGCCGCTGTTGGTGGTGTACAGCATTTACAGGAGGAATACTCACAACTAGTCAAGTAATAGTCTGGGGACCGTACCTGTGACTATTTTCTCTTTTTGCCCAAAATCCGCCTGTAGGAGGAAATGCCCGACCTAACATTTGCTGTTGGGCATCGTACCCATTTCTTCCATGCCCACTTCGGGCGCCCAGAGCTTGGGCCCAGCTGGTTTCAGCTCCGCCGCGAGGGCCCCTTCCTCGATATGCTGTTGTTCTCAGCGGTGGCACGTAGCCGATTCGATATTCGATTCGCCATCCCCTCCCCCCTTGTCGGGGGCGGGCGGCCAAGAGGGGGGGCGATGCCCAGGACAAGAAAGGGACATGATGGCTGGGGCCATGACACCTCCCTGGAATTCGTGGCCCCCTCGTCTTCTTTCAGTGCGTCCCCAGGCCTCTTAGATGGGGTCTGAGTAGATGGGGTCGGAGGATCGCACCGCATCGCCGACGCGTGGCCGATGCGGTTCGATGTGGGGCCCGATTTGTTTCACGTCGGCACCGCCGATGCATCGCCCACGTCGGCGATGCATCGGCGGTGCGTCGCCGATACTTTGCCGATGCATTGCCGCTGCATCGCCGATGTATCGGCGATGCGGCGCGATCCTCCGCCCGCTTCTACTCCGACCCCATCTGGGGCGCTCCAGAGGTGGCCTCGCCTTCGAGGGCCCAAGGGGTTTGCGTCTCCCTGGCGGAGGGGCGGCGGAAGTGAAGAACGGCAGCGGCTCTGCCGGCGGAGGCCAGCGGAAGTAAGACATGCGCCCCCGAGGGATGGCACCATTTTTGGGTTCAGGAATCTTGACCCTCCACTCGGCGTCACCTCAACATACTAGTACTATGTGTGCCGTGCCCCCCCCAGGGGCGACGCGCGCACCGCGACATCTGATAGTAAATGCGTCGTAGCGGGCGCTTTAATGCCACACCGCCCGAGAAACGATATACTACAAGATGGGTATGCTGTATGTTCGGGGCGGACGCGCGCCTCCAAGGAGGACGTATAGTAGTAGTAGTAGTAGTAGTAGTAGTAGTAGTAGTAGTAGTAGTAGTAGTAGCAGTAGTAGTAGTAGTAGTAGTAGTAGTAGTAGTAGTAGTAGTAGTAGTAGTCGTAGTAGTCGTAGTCGTAGTAGTCGTAGTAGTCGTAGTAGTCGTAGTAGTCGTAGTAGTCGTAGTAGTCGTAGTAGTAGTAGTAGTAGTAGTAGTAGTAGTAAGTAGTAGTAGTAGTAGTAGTAGTAGTAGTAGTAGTAGTATAGTAGTAGTAGTAGTCGTAGTAAGTAGTAGTAGTGGTAGTAATAGTAGTAGTAGTAGTAGTAGTAGTAAGTAGTAGTAGTAGTAGTCGTCGTAGTAGTGTAGTAGTCGTCGTAGTAGTCGTAGTAGTCGTCGTTGCCGTCGTCGTCGTAGTAGTAGTAGTAGCAGTAGGAGTCGTCTCAGTAGTCGTAGTCGTCGTCGTCGTCGGCGTCGTAGTCGTAGTAGTAGTAGTAGTAGTAGTAGTAGTAGTAGTCGTAGTAGTAGTCGTAGTAGTGTAGTAGTAGTAGTAGTAGTAGTAGTCGTAGTAGTAGTAGTAGTAGTAGTAGTAGTAGTAGTAGTAGTAGTAGTAGTAGTAGTAGTAGTAGAAGTAGTAGTAGTAGTCGTGTAGTAGTCGTAATAGTAGTATAGTAGTAGTAGTAGTAGTAGTAGTAGTAGTCGTCGTAGTCGTAGTAGTAGTAGTAGTAGTCGTAGTAGTAGCAGTAGTAGTAGTAGTAGTAAGTAGTAGTAGTAGTAGTAGTAGTAGTAGTAGTAGTAGTAGTAGTAGTAGTAGTAGTAGTAGTAGTAGTAGTAGTAGTAGTAGTAGTAGTAGTAGTAGTAGTAGTAGTAGTAGTAGTAGTAGTAGTAGTAGTAGTAGTAGTAGTAGTAGTAGTAGTAGTAGTAGTAGTAGTAGTCGTAGTCGTAGTAGTAGTAGTAGTAGTAGTAGTAGTAGTAGTAGTAGTAGTAGTAGTAGTAGTAGTAGTAGTAGTAGTAGTAGTAGTAGTAGTAGTAGTAGTAGTAGTAGTAGTAGTAGTAGTAGTAGTCGTAGTAGGTCTCTGTGCGTCCCATCCACGTGAGCAATGGAAGGTAACAGGGTCGACTGCGCCGACATTGGCGCATAAGCTGCCCGCGTAAGGTCGCGCGTAAGCGCCCTCGGCTCCAGAGTGGCGTGCCACGATGGTGGCCCGCGTAAGCCACCGCGCAAAGTCGCTATGTCTTCTCGCGTAAGAGCCGCTTTTCTTCATCGCTCACATGCCCCTGGCCACGATTTTCGGATCCGCCTCTTGGCTGCCCCCTTATTGGAGGCTCCCGACTTTGCGACCGCCCCTTCTACCATGAGGGAAAAGTAAGCACAGACACACGTAAACATCTCTCTCGCTCTATACATATATATATATATATATATATATATATATATATATATATTCCCCATACAATATGCGAGCATATGGGAAATGGAGGAGAAAGCGAATACCCAGAACAATTGAAAAGTGTACGGAGTCCTGGGATTCGAGCGTCTGATTTTTCTTGTGCCTCCCTGGGCACTTCTATACTCTCGCCCGCCCCGGGAGGTCGTGGAGGCGCTGTGCGCAGCCGCCCGCGGACTGACGCCGGACGCCCTTGCGCCCTGCAGGCCTCGAGGGGCGTACGGCAGGGAGGGGGCTGGCTCGGCCACGAGCGGCGAACATGCCCATGAGCTGACAACCGGGCACCCGCATTCACGATCGACTGACCCACCCCCATCCCCTTAGGGCCATGGTGTCTCAGCCTCGGAGCCGGCTGGGGGTCTGAGGTGGCCCAGCACCATTTCCGGCCAGCAGGAAGGTGGGGCCCGGTGCGAGGTTCTGGGCCGGTTTTTCTGTCATTGTTTTGATTGTTTTTTGCTCTTTTTGGCCTCTGGGGGCTGTTTCGGTCCCTCGGGACCGTCACAAACGGATCCAGGGTGAACAATTGCACCAGATGGACCTTGGGAGGGATCCGAGGACCGATTTTGAGCGGATTCGCCCTCGTTCCCCCCTTCTTGACAGCTGTCTTGGGGCCCACCCAGTGCAGACCTGGCCGCCTCCAAGACTAGCTCAGCCACGAGTGGCGAACATAATTAACCATGAACTGAACTGACAACTAGGTACCCATACTCAGTATCGTTTTATCCGCATTCCCATCGGGCCATGGTGTCTCAGCCCCACCATAACACCGCACCAGTTGGGGATAGGCCCCTCCAAGCCCGAAGTGGAAAGTCTACATATGATCCCGGGCCCACGGCCCCCCCCCCCCAGATGGGATGGGTCTCAGGATCCCTCGGTCCCCCCCCTCTCAGATGGGATCCGGGGGCGACGACGACGACAACGACGACGACGGCGGCGACGACGACGACGGCGACGACGACAACGACGACGACGGTGATGACGACGGCGGCGGCGGCGGCGGCGACGACGACGACGACGACGGCGGCGACGGCGGCGGCGACGACGACGAAGACACAGTCCGCTCCGGCTCCCTGAAGCACAGCAACACCACGCCACACCCAGAGGGAGGCGATGACGGGGAAGACACCGTCGACGACGATGTTGCTTCTTCTCCTCCCTCCGTCCACTACCGCACGCCTACAGGGGAAGAGCCCACCACGCCACGCCCACGGGGGGGGGGCCATCGCGCGGAGGGGGAGGGGCCCGATGGCATCAGCAAGGGGGGGAGGCGGGGGCCCTGACCCTGGATCCTATAGCCCCATTTGGGGGGGTAGATCGACCAGTGGGGCCTAGGCCGCGCCAGTGGGGATATGGATCGGTTAAACGATGCTCACACACGTATACGACACTAGAACTCCTGGGGTAGAATTCCGGGGGCGGGGGGGCGGGCCTATGGGTAGGTGTTGTCGGATGTGGGTCCCGCTGGAATGGGAGCCTCGGGGTCCGACAACCCGCACCCATATTTATAACGTGCCCTCAAAATCGCGAGGTGTGGGCCAGCACACCCTATATGTATGAGGGCGCTTCGTCCGTTCGTCACACATCCATCTCCACACCCTCGCGGTCTGGATTCCAGGGCGCGATCCTGTGGATACGCGCTCGCACGGATGCGTCCCGCGCAGGAGCAACCGCCAACGAAAGCGTCCGTATCCATGGGGTCGCGGCCCACTTGGCATCGCTGGGATGTGGGCGTTCTTCTCGGCGAAGACCATCGAGGAGCATCCTGGGCCGCCATCTTGCGACAGGCACGCACGAAGCCGAAACCTGCCGTGGGAATGGGCGTCCGAGCCATGGCAGGCCCAGGGGCCCGGCCCGCGAGGCCGTGAACATGGCTAGCAGCGGCCCCCGAGCGCCCACTCCTCGCCAATAGGGGGCCCCGGGGGGGGGGCGCCCGAGCCCTGCCCACTGCCCAGGAGGGCGGGCTCGGCAGCAAGCCACGGGAGCCCTGTTCGGGACGATCGAAGGCGGTACGGAGAGGGCGGGTACAGAGACCGACAGCGTGCCGGGTCATCTTGAACAGGACTCGCTGTCGGGATCGATGCGGGCGTTGTCCCCTCGAGACAGAAGGCCGCCTGCCCAACAGCGGCCGCTGTCGGTTTTGGACAGCACTTGTTGTTGGGCATCGTGCCCATCTCTTCCGTAGTGTCCAAAAATTGTGTTCGTAATTCCGTCTTTGAGTGCATTGGCGTGCGCTCGCGTCTGGCAGTCGATGAGACAGCGCCGACTTAGCATCGATGAGCGTCGTTGAGCGTCGTAGGTTCGCAAGAGCCGACAAGACGGCATGGGAAGCCTGGATGGCGCCAGGACGAGGATAAATCCGCTCCAGGGCGTTCCAGAATTGTTCTCAGAGCATTCTGGAACGCTCTGAGATGGCCGCGGCGCCCGAGACATCCTCCAGAGCCGCCGGACCTCCGAGATTCTCGACTTGTCCTCCCCCGACTTGATCCTCGTGCCAGCTTCGTCTTTGAGGCTCCCGGCAGTTGCCCAGGAGGGCGGGGCCTCCCCGGCTGCGGCCACTCCCCGACTCACTTCGGCGGTGGGGTGTCGGTCGACTCGAGGGGGCGCGGTCGGCGGGGGCCCCGGCGGCCTCGGGCGCGCGCCCGCGGAGGGGGGGGGGATGGGGGTGGCGAGGAGGAGCAGGAGCAGGAGTAGGAGGAGGAGAAGGAGGGGGGAGGAGGGGGGAGGAGGGGGAGGAGGAGGAGGATGAGGGGGAGGAGGACCAGTGTAGACCCAAGACTCACCAACGATGTCGAAATACACCGTCCCTACAAGGTCCCTCTTCATTGGCACCTACAAGGGGCCATTTCCACTGAGGGAATTGCCCCGTTGGGGGACAACCGTGTGAACATCTTGAAGCATGCCGAAATTTCCATTCTCAGGACTTCAACGCCACGAGTTAACCTGACTGTTACGTCTTGGCGAGCCTGAATCGTGCCAGGACCATTCCTGGGACTTCACCGCGAATCAACGTAATTGTTGCGCCCTGACAGCCTTCAATCGTTTCAACACACCATTTTTGGTACGTTCACCATGTGAACCCGTTTCACTCTTGCAAATGTTTAAAACGAATGTATGCGGCGCTAAGGCGAGAGCCACATGTTGAAAAAGGAACCGTGAAGCTCTTGCAAATGTTTAAAACGAATGTATGCGGCGCTAAGGCGAGAGCCACATGTTGAAAAGGAACCGTGAAGCTCTTGCAACTTTTTACAACGAATGCACGCGGCGCTAAGGCGAGAGCCAACTTTTGCAAAGGAACCGCCCTCACATTGCGAAGTTCTTGCACATGTTTAAACGAACGTGCGCGGCGCTGAGGCGAGAGCCACATCTTGAAAACCAACCGCCCTCAATCCGTGAAACTCTTGTAAGTGTTTAGATAACATTTGCGCGGCGCTGATGCGAGAGCCACATTTTGAACACTAACCGCTCTTAATCCGTGGATCTCTTGCAAATGTTTCGAACGAATGTACGTGTCGCTGAGGCGAGAGCCACATTTAAGGAACGAACCGCCCTCAGTCTGTGACACTTTTCCATTTTTTGAACCAATGTGCGCGGCGCTAAGGCGAGAGCCACATTTTGAAAAATACCCGCCCTCAATGTGTGAAACTGATGCAAATGTTTAGAACGAATGTTCGCGGCGCTAAACCGAGCCAGATTTTGAAAACCAACCGCTCTCCATCTGTGAAACGGTTGTTTGTCATACTTTGTAAGGAGGTCTCAGGCGAAGTGCCCGGCCCGTCCTCTCGACCGGCCTTGGGGTGCGACAGGAAGGAGATACCTATAGGCGAAGGAATGGAGGAGGCGGAGGAGGGGGATGAGGAGGAGGAGGAGGAGGAGATGGAGGATAAGGAGGAGGAGGAGAAGGAGAAGGAGGACGAGGAGGAGGAGAAGGAGGAGGAAATGAAGGAGGAGCAGGAGGAGGAGGAGGAGCAGGAGGAGGAGGAGCAGGAGCAGGACGAGGAGGAGGAGGAGGAAATGGAGGAGGAGCAGGAGAAGGAGGAGCAGGAGGAGGAGGAGCAGGAGCAGGAGGAGGACGAGGAGGAGGAGGAGGAGGAGGAAATGGAGGAGGAGCAGGAGAAGGAGGAGCAGGAGGAGCAGAAGCAGAAGCAGGAGCAGGAGGAGGAGGAGGAGGAGGAGGAGAAGCAGGAGGAGGAGCAGGAGGAGGACGAGGACGAGGAGGAGGAGGAAATGAAGGAGGAGCAAGAGGAGGAGCAGGAGGAGGAGGAGAAGGAGCAGGAGCAGGAACAGGAGGAGGACGAGGAGGAGGAGGAGGAGAAGGAGGAGGACCAGGAGAAGAGGAGCAGGAGGAGCAGGAGCAGGGCAGCAGGAGGAGGAGGAGCAGGAGGCGGAGGAGGAGGATGATGATGAGGACGAGGAGGTGGATGCTGATGATGATGATGATGATGATGATGATGTGATGATGATGATGATGCTGATGATGCTGATGATGATGACGATGATGATGATGATGCTGATGCTGATGCTGATGCTGATGATGCTGATGATGATGATGCTGCTGCTGATGATGATGATGCTGATGATGATGATGATGATGATGATGATGATGATGCTGATGATGATGACGATGATGATGATGATGATGATGATGATGATGCTGATGCTGATGCTGATGATGCTGATGATGATGATGCTGCTGCTGATGATGATGCTGATGATGATGATGATGATCATGATGATGATGATGATGATGATGATGATGATGATGATGATGATGATGATGATGATGATGATGATGATGCTGATGCTGATTATGATGCTGATGCTGCTGCTGCTGCTGCTGCTGAGGAGGGAGGAGGAGGAGGAGGAGGAGGAGGAGGAGGAGGAGGAGCGGAGGAGGAGAAGGCCATTGCTGCCCCCCGAGCTGGCCCCCACCCCACCCCTGAGGCTGTCCGGCGAGAGCCGTCGCCGCCGCGGGCTGTCCTTGCGGTCCGCCGCGGGCCTGGTCGGCCGCCTCGGCTTGCGCGGGACGCGCGCGCCCGCCGCGGCCTCGTCCGCGGCTTCGCCGTCGGCTTCGCCCTCGGCCTCGCCCTCGGCCCCAGACATCCGGGGCTCCACTTGTTTCGATGCGTGGGTCCCCAGGGGTCTGGACGGCTTCCCCGGGGCCGGCACCCCGATTAGTGTTTTGAATGATGGCACCGCTTCATCCCGAGTCTCACAGCGTGAATTACCTACCCCGCTTTCGCTTCCAGGCAAAACCAAGTCATACCACGCGCCTCCTCGTCAAGCGGCCTGACCAGTACAGGCCGTAGTTTGGCATCGCTTGGTATCTCTTGGAAGCGAGGGTGGTCAAAAGCGAGGTAGGTTTGTTTGCCCCTTAGAGTCGTTTTTCGACGGCCCCGGGGACCGTTGAGGGCCCCCTTCGGGGGCCGAAAACGGCACCCAAACCGGCCGCGTCATCCCGAGTCGTTCTTTGACGGCCCCGGGGACCCCTTCGGGGGCCGAAAACGGCACCCAAACCGGCCGCTTCATCCCGAGTCGTTTTTTGACTGCCCTCGGGGTCCGTTGAGGGCCCCTGGGGGCTGAAAACGGCACCCAAACCGGCTGCTCGATTTTTTGTCGGAGCCTCGGATCTCTAGGGCTTCGCCGTCGGCTTCGCCCGCGCTCCGCCCGGCGGCCCACGACGCCGACGCCCTGACGCCCCGCAGGCCGCCCGCGTGAGCCTAGGCCTCCCAGATGGGGTCCGAGCAGATGGGGTCCGAGAGGCGACTCGATGCGGAGCCTGCTTTTCTCCGCGCCGACGTCGCCGATACATCGCCGACCCCATTTAGAGAGCGTTTTTTTTGTTTGTGATAGCGGGCGGTAAGCGGAGATTGCTCTGTTTTCCAAGAGCTTGAGCCACTGCGGTTGCGGTGTGAGATTGTTCACTCTTCTCTCTCAGTCCACAGTAGCACTCTCTCAGTTCACAGTCGCACTGCGAAGAACACATATTATGCCCTGCTACCTACCAGGAAGCTGAACTTCTTGCTTATGTACTAGTGTCCCGGATGAGTACGAAGCGCGTTTCATTCTGCATTCGTAGGTGTCTAGCTCGAGAAACCTCCAGCCAGGATCCAGCATAAAACATTCTGGGATAATCCCGAAATCTAAAAAAAACTTCCTCACTCACGAGAGGGAGTATGAAAGGAGGAGGAGGAGGAGGTACAACTCGCCGGGCAGGCGGTGACGCCTTCATGTCCAACATGTCCTGCTCTGAGTGGGACTCCTTGACCTGCTGGATCTTCCGAAAAGGTGACCACCTTGCTCTTCGGGGTCGTATCGTCCTCGTGCCGGTTGTTAGATGCTCTATCAGTAGTTCGAACAAGCCTGTCGGGGTGAGGCCGTCTATAATAACAGCGTCCGTTGGTAAGTAAAGGACGTGTCGTATTCAGCCGCTCAACCTTTTCTCTCATACTTACGATTGCTAGACTTCCTCATTTGTCACTGGGCAGTCTTTTCACTCCAAAACGGCGGCCAGAAGTCTATAAAGTCTGGGCAATGATCAATCCTTACATGATACATCGATCTGTCAAAAAACGTCCATCATGTCTTTCGCCTTATGCTGCTCTGCGGAGCACATGCTCACTTCAGTCATCCGTAGAACTATGAGCTGTGCTGCTTGATTCACCTTGTAGCCTGCGTTCGTCTCCGCCGAGCATGTCGATTTCGAGATACGTTTGTTGTTTCTGGATGGAATCACCAACGGGTGAGTGATGCTTTCGAGAATCGAACTATCATTTGGGTGCATACTGTGTTTTGGTGACATTATCGTCCATGTGATTTCTATTGGAAATGCTGCAGCTCCTTCTTGCGGGTACGAAGTCTTCGCGTTGCCGTGCCCTGCATCTCCTATTAATGCAAGTCGTAGTGGATACTGCACTGCTCGGAATGTAAGCCGGTCATGCTCTTGTTACGTTTAGCCCGTTCCGCAATCAGGTTCTCCTGCTTGGGACGTCTAAGTGTTTCTTTCCTCACAATCTGCTGGAGCCGAGCTTCATCACAATCTATGTCTTTCCGAGTTTGGCGATGCCACAGTATTGAACATAACACGGACCGAAGACCATGCACTTGTTGTGGATCAATTTGTTGATCAACCTTATCCTTGAGTTTAACAGGAATCTCGATTTTCTTAAGCCACATGAAAACGAATACTGATGGATGGACAGGTGCCGATGTGCCAACAAGTCGTGACTCATGCCCATCTGCGTGAAGGGTAACTGATGTCGCTTGATTGTTTTTTTCCGAAACGCTCGTGCATGGTTTTTAGCCCGCAGTGAAGATAGTATGGCTTCGTGAGTAACTATGATGTAATCTACGTGGACCGTCCACACCATCCGAATGCTGCCGTTCTTTGGACTCCCTACAGCTCTTCATCACCTGTAGAGGCAAGCAACGCCGACTGCCATAGCAAGGGGGCGTCCCCCGTGCCGTAGATTGGCTTCAGTAGATGCAATGCAAAGTAGCCAATGCCCATCTCTGGGATTTTTGATCTTGCTCTTCTGGTATTCTGTAAAGTGTCTCCTCACGTTGGCTGGAGGCTGAATTCAAGCCACGTCTCCTTCCGTTGCGAATAATGATGCGGCGATGATCCTCCGAGATCGTCTCGATGCTGTCGAAGACGGTCTCAGCACGTCTTGCTTCTGATCCGCGTCCGCGTAAACGTGATTTGATGATGTAGGTTAGGTTTTTCTGTTGTCCTTGCCGCAGACCTTCCAAGCTCTGAACCATGTTGCATCAATCGCATGAGAGTGCTTGTTTAACCCTCTGGACGATCACGCGCGTTATGCCTCCCTTCCCCCCCTTCCCCCCCACAATGTAACGCCCCTCCTACACCCACGAGTGCGTACCGGCACTGCCGAAGTGCGTCCAGCACCACACGGCGGGGGCGGAGGCGTCACGTTATGCCGCCCCCAGTAGCCCCCCGCCCCCACCCCCCATAACACCTGTCATTGCCGCGAGGAGAAAATGCTCTCCATATGAGCTTTCCACATTCCTGTGGTGTGCTGCTTTGAAGCACTTGTTCTCCACGACAGAACTTGCCTCAAGTCCATCCGCTGCCTCGACCAATGGCCAGTACTTGATGAGATCTTCATCTGTCAAGCTGTTGTCGGCCTGTGGCAGAGATCATAGATCGACTCACCTGTGTTCAAGTCGACGTAAAAGCAGATGACCTTCCGGAAAGAGAGATTATGGAGTAATCCAATATGAGTTCCTCGCCTGCCAAGGCATATCATTGTTACTCATGTGTCGAAAGTTGTCTGAGGTATCTTGCGCCATGCTCATCATGATGTGCTGGTATTCCTCCAACTCTTTCTTGCTCATACACCCACTGAAGCGATGCCGATCTTGAACACGATAGATATCAATCTGTTGATCGCCAAAGGCTATGACTGCTTCCAGCGTCTCGGGACGCTTCGTATCTCTCAGACATGGTGGTGACTTCATCTGCGAATCATCCAGTGCTGAGGGTTCCACGATTGTTAGAGGTCGCTTTGTCGATGGTCGTTCTGAGGCTGCTCGAAACCTTACCCGCTTGTTCACTGGTGGTTCGGATGGTGATGTCTTTACTTTTGATGTCTCTTTCAATTCTCTCGTAACACCGTGCTTCTGTGATTCTGGTCCTGCTGCAGCTGGAGTAGCTGCTGGCTCCACAACTACGGGTGAGCCGTAGTCGACCGTCGGAGCTTTGTCGTCGTCATAGACGATTGTGCTCTTCGCTGCCTCCGTCGTTGCCTCTTGATCAGGCTCGGTAGTGCTGGAGGCGTTGGAGTATGTGCTCGATCCCGTGGTGATGCTGTAGTTGTGATCGTTTTCGTCGGCGTCGCCGTTGACGCTGCCGGTGTAGGAGATTCGGGTTGAGTATGAGTGGAAGCCTTAGGCAGAGTTGGAGATTTTGATGCTGGTATATCCGTAGTCGTTGCCAGTCTAGATGCTGCCGTGGAAGCCGTCGGCTTGCTGCCTGAAGAGCTCGAAGTTCCAGGTGCAGTCCGTCGTAATGGAGGTGATCTGCACAGTTCGCGACGTCTCACTGTCGCTGGTTGTGCTGGTGGTGATGCTGGCGTCGCAGGACTGATCGGTAGCTGCGGAAGCTGTGATGGCCATGCCGTCATTTTTGTCTTCCACGGTGGCGGTGTTTGGAGCTGGCTGTCCAGCCGCTGGGGGCGGTGGTGGCGGTCGGCGGCGAGCGAGTGGGGGAAATGAGAAGGAGAAGGCCTTCTCAGAAGTCGGCGGGTCTTCTCAGAAGCCCCCGCGCCTTCTGAGAATCTTTTCTGCCTTCGGGGAAGGCTCTTGATATCAATGTCAGAGATGTTCGAGAAATCCAGGATTGTGCACTGCGTGGAATCATCGGCCCTACCAGACCCTCGAAGGTGTCTGATAGGATGTTGTATGCATTGGCATCCTTTTTTCCTGCAAGCATTCATTGGTCGGGTATCCATGCGCGACTGACCCATGTGCAGGTCAGCTTCCCCTCGAGCGAGCGCGAGGGCATTCTTCCCGATATATTACATGCCTCTGCGTCCCATTTTGAATGCCAGGACTTGTTTGTAGGCTGCCCTTGTCAACCCCTGGAGAACTGGCAGTGCTGCCGCGCTGTCATCTTCGACGTTGTTTATTCTGAACCAAAATGAGAACTTATGTAAATACGTCTTCACGCCGTACTCAGCGATGCCCGTCTTCCAGTTGGGAAGGGGTTCGTCTCGTGCTCTCTTCCAAGGGGGGCGTAAGTCTGCTGTCGTACATCTCGTCGTCTGTGACTTGAATATTGCCGTTACTTTACCGAGCGCAGGGATGTTCTCGATCGGATATTCGTAATCTGCTGAAGCACTCCAACTCCAAAGTATCAGTCCCACCAAGCCGCAGCCTCGTCGGCGCTCAGTCGGTCGAAGACGATCACCTGGTCTAGAACTTCGTGCGCGCTGTGGAAGAGGGTCGCTTGCTTGATGCTCCGTCGCTCCTCGCTGGAGATGCTGCTCGCCTGCGTCGATATGCTGCTCGTCCTCTCGATGCTGCTGGCCACCTTCTCGATGGGCCGGTCCGCGACGGCTATCGCGGGCAGAGTCGGTCTGGCGGGGCGGGGCCGCGCGCGCCGCTCGTGGGCGGCCTCGCTCTGTTTTCCAAGAGCTCGAGCCAACGCAGCTGCGGTGCGACATGATTCGCTCTTCTCTCGGCGGCGAGCGAGGGGGGGAGTGGGAAGGAGAAGGTCTTCTCAGGGGGCGGCGGGGCTTCTCGGAAGCCCCCGCGCCATCTGAGGGGTTTCCTCGGGGATGGCTCAGAAAACTTTCAGAGTGCCAGGGGGCTTCTGAGCTTTCTGAGAAGGCCCGCCCCTTCTCACTTCCCCCCTCGCTCGCCGCCGTCTCTCTCGGGTCGCAGTCGCAGTGGTGAGGGCAGGTGCTCGTGCCCTGCTATCTGCCAGGAAGCGAACATGCCCGCTCGTTGCGGGGGCGGGGGGGGGGGGGGGGGGGGGGGGGGGGGGGGGGGGGGGGGGGGGGGGGGGGGGGGGGGCGTTGGCGTCGCGTTTCGCGCCGGCGCCGTCCGGAAATACTTGGGCATGGCCGAAGACATTCCGGGCGCCAGCGCGACTCGTGGCGTTGCCTCGGGACCGGTAACGGTCGCGGTCTCGGGGGATTAGACAGCGTTTTCTTCTCGGCGGCGCGCCGACATGCAGTAATGCAGATGCGACGT